GGTCATTTTTTGTCACAGTGGTTGAAACTGCAGTATCCTTATTCTTTTCTTTTTTTGTCTTAAGAGAATTGCATTGATTGCTTCTCTCTAGGAAAGATTGACCATTGCTCTTTTCTGAACCTGCAAATTCACCCCCACCAAAATCACAATTGCTCGTCTTATTAGTCCCCCGGGCTCTTAGATAAACTTCACCAGCACGGCTGCACGAGCCATTTGTTAGTGCATAGTATCTTGACCCAATGGCATCGATTGCTTCCTTCCAGGAAGGATTGACCATTGCTCCTTTTGGATCCTGTGTAATCCACTGCTGGAGCCAACTGAGTCAATTTGTGAGGGATACTAACCTGCTTCACCATCTAAGTACTAATTGTTACTGGAGCTGAATCAGCAGTATCCTTGATCCAAATTGCAACAACCGAAGTTTTCCCTTTAATTTTTCTGCGCTATTCTACCTTCATATACCCAAGTGTCAGAAACCAACGTTTGCTTGAGATTTATCTTCTGCTTATGTATTTGGTGTTCTATTCTCTGCAACGTTATTTTTTCCATTGTACGCGAACCCCCGTCACCAGCATCTTAAATTCAGTCTTGAAAGGAACACAAGGGAACACGCGTATTCCCCCAACGTCAGGCTGCAGCATACTTGCCAAATGACCCACAACCCCGATGTCCTTATCAGATCTATCATAGGCCAATGTAGGCCAATGTTTCTGATGAGATTCTGTCCTTCCGATCCTTGGCCGTCAGGATAAATAAAGTATCCTACGGGAAATTGTGGGGCTGAAACAGGTTCCCTTACTGTGGTGGACCTTTGCCGGAATCTCTCTGCATGTTGACATTCCACAAAACAGCGGGATCGGATTCTTTTATTCTGAAGCCACACACATTCGGCATAGCAGGGACTCCTCTGTTCAGAGGCTCTCTTTCCTTCTTTGGTCCAGCCATTCATTTGCCGGGTCAGCATGATGAAGCAAGAGCCGCTGTAGCCCGCTTAACTTCTGAGGTCGGATGGAAGTATAATACCCCCAAGAGAGATGTTTCATGACTTTCAGCGGGATTTGCATTTTTCTTGAGCCATCTTTGTGGAATGATCAACGCAGGGTCTGCTGAGCTCTCTCCCAGAAGATACCCTCTATTGACCATAGATTCTTTGATCATGATCTGTTTATGGGACCCCCCACTTTTAGATGAAAGATACAATCCCCATACCACGGGATCGAACTCCAACTCTTCCATGTCCTGATCAATCCTTTATAGCATTGGCAGCTCCTCTTTATGATTTTTTTGTGGCCTCGGCATGTTCTCTGCCTTCCTTCCCCCCCTCCTCGTTGCCAACCCTTCCCCTTCCCCCTTTTAAGTGGCTTCCTTAAACCACCAGTACCCGCCATACATAGGCCGCGCACCCCTTTCAGAGGCCGCAAACGCGACAAAGGCCGCTCATGGAATTTATCGACGGTGGCCCTGCCTCGACTTTTTCAGAAGGGCGACGAGTTCTGTTTCAGCATGGCTGGTGCCGTGTACTGGTGGTCTGATGTTCTCACTTTGAGCAATTGGTGCACTCTGAAATGCAGAGCTGTGAGTCCCCGCTCAAAAGTTTCCACCATGGTTTTTGAATAATCTTTAAGCTCATTTAATTCCTTGCCACACTCCCCGTTCCGCCCATGCTCTCTAACGGTGTTCGTTTCCTGATAGTTTCCACGGCTTGCCATTCCCGTCAGCTAACTTATAAATGTGTTCCAAAGAAGTGGTTGGTGCACAACTCCTTTTTCAGAGATTGGCTGTCTTATTTGTTCTCGAAAAAGTCTCTCTCTATTCCATCTTCTATACCCGTTTGGGGTCCAGTATTTATTCGTTATCCGAAAAGGGGCTTCCGTGTCATGATGTGCCTTGAAGGGCACGAGGTTATGAATCTGCAACCATGCCAAGTCGTTCCAAGTTCTCTATGAAACAACACAAGTCTAATTATCCACTTGTTTGTAGAGCTCTATACTGTCTAGCTGGGTCCACTACGGTAGCCCAAAACCCCCCTACCTGTGTTTTTGGTAAACAGTCGCCTATTGATTTCCATCCCATCTGAGTGATAAACTGGACTGGGTTTGACTAGCTATCCATATACCTGCCTTCCGCTCGATTTGTTTGGTAAAGCCTTTTGGTGGATTCTAGAGAAATAGATGCCACATCCCAAAACACTGGAAATATAAATGTGTTAATAACCAGAGCTTGTCCTACAATGGATGCATAGATTTTCTGCCCTGCCGCCCACCGAGTTTGTTAATTGCTTAAATTTTTGCTTTGGCTAGGAGACCGAGTACCATTTGACCGCTTGTTCCTTTTCCACTGAGCATGACTCCTAGGAATCTGAAAGGTTCCTGTTCAGTCATTCATTGCATCGTGGACTGCTCTTGGGACGTGGTTGGTAATGGGGTATTGGACACCGACCATACTGTTGTCGTTTTTCAGGCTGTGCTTAAAAAGAAAAAGAAGAAAGAAAAAAAAAAAGCCTGCATTGCCCTTGTTAGTGCTTGAAAGGAAGAATCTGTTGCTTTAATACGAACAGTGACATCATCTGTAAAAAGCATAAGTCCAGGAAAGCAGATACAATGCCCAGTTTTATCTTGGTCCCACTAAAAGTCTATCAATGGATGGATCCTTTCTTAGGTGAAGGCAGCTATTGCCTCCATAACAGATAGAAACATCGGAGCCGCCAAGGGATCCCCCTTGTGGAACTGATCTGGTTATCCTATATGGTTCTGACAAATGTCAATTGTCCTGGACAATCCCTTTGTTGGCATCTGCATGTGAAACCTTAACCGATCGTCTGAGTTGTGTTCTCACACCCATTTTAGCCATGCACAAGTCGGAAAATTCCCAGTTAACCTGATCGTACGCCTTTTCCCAAAAAAAAAGAAGAAGAAAAAAAAAAAGGCTGCCTGTACCCTTCTTTCTTTAATAAACTTCGTCGCTTTCTATTAGACGTACGACATTATCGAGTATGGATCTGTTTGGTATAAACCCCGTTGATCAATGTGGAAACGTTTGTCTGTTACATTAGTGATTATATTAGCAAGGAGCTTTGCCAAAATCTTATAGGCTACCGGTAGAAGTGATATAGGATGATAATGTGTAATATTTTCCTTCTCCCGCTTCTCTTGAGTAAGGGTGACTACGCCAGTTCTCAAAATTTTCCCTAATGTGCCCTCCTAGAAGGCGAACTAATGATCCCCAAAAAATATTTAAAACTTCCTTCCAAAACTCCTTAGACAGTCCATCCCTCACGAGGAATTTGCCTGTCTTCATATATCCTCTAGAGCTTGTCGAAGCTGCCGCTGTCCTGTTCTTATCTGAATATGCTATTGCTTCTGGTCTAAGAGTGAATTCTAAATGTCTCATGAATTATTCTCGGGCGTGAGCTACACTGTGTCTATCTTTAGTACCTGAGGTGTATAGATTGTGGAGTTCCTCTTACATATCTTGATATTCCATGCGCTGTCCTCGAGTTGAAGTATACGGCTATTCCTATTGGCAACTTTTTTTTTTTTTTGAAAAAAGAATGTAGTCATTGACCTAAATTTTCCCTGTGCTTGACTCTGGCCCTGATTTCAATAAACTGAGCCCATTGTATGCCTATTCTTCTCTGGCCATTTTCGATAAGCGTTTGTACGTTATGGAGGATAGGTTAGATCTTAAATTATATTCCCCAGTGGCTACCATAGCATCTAGCGACGTTTCTCTGTATTTTCATTTCCTTGCCATAAGGCGACATGTCTTACGGAGTTCCTTACATAGACCCACAAGAGCAATGATCGCTTTCCAGATGGTGTCCGAGATGCGCATTAATTGGGCCAAAAATGAGGCCTGGTGGCTGACAGATCCATAAACCCCGCCCCTGGTGAGCTCTCCCGCTGAATTGAGGTGGACTGACAGCAAAGCACCGTTGAGATATCTTGGGGTTCAGGTCAACGACACAGGCCCCTTGCAAGCGCAGGAGCCCGTCATTCTGGCCAGGCTGCTGGCGAAACTAGACTCCTGGTCCAGAGTCTTTACGTCTCATCTTCAGCCATTCGCTGGTACTGCATGCCTCCATCTTCTCCATGCTCTGGTACGCAGGCACGGTGTGGACTCTGGACACTCCGCTGCACACCGAGCTGCACCATAAAGCAGCCGCCTACATGTGGACAGGAGATCCGGCATGCCACTCCATTATGAAAGTGACGTGGGACACGGTTATCCAACCTCAGAGCCAGGGCGGGCTAGGCGTAATTTGTCCTGAAAAACAAATCAAGGCCTTGCAGACCAAGTGGCTCTTAAAGTTGCTGACACGGCCGGAACTGCCGTGGCACCCATTGGGACTCAGGAGAATCTGTCAGCTGCCAAATACCGCACACCAGAAAACATGAGTGGACTCTTTTGGCTCCTGGCAGACCCCTGGGCTACTAGAGGAACGGCCACAGAAGACACTGGGGACAGCAGCGAGTATCAGAATCCGCAAGCGTACTGGCACCACTTCCTCAAGATATGCCAGGAAGTCAGGCCAGCCAAGATATGGGGGCCCTGAAATAGAGAAGAGGCGCTCAGACAGCCGTTATTCTGCAACCAGCACCTCACTGGTCCCTCACGGCGAGTGTCACGAGATGGGGGCATGGCTGGAAAAGGGAGTTCGGCAAGTCAAGCACCTTTGGAACCATGAGGGAAACACCTGGAAGACGTCTCCGGAACTGTGGGAGTCGCTGAAAGCTGCCACAACCTGCAGGACAACGACAGCAACATCCTCCTATNAACACCTGGAAGACGTCTCCGGAACTGTGGGAGTCGCTGAAAGCTGCCACAACCTGCAGGACAACGACAGCAACATCCTCCTATGCTGCTCACCCCCTCCGGGTGGGGCTCGGGTGACTGGGCCACATTGTGCTGTGAGGACTGTCCATCTTTCGCCCTGGCCTACGTGGCAATGGCACACCCACAAGGGGATTGGCTCTTGTTCGACATGTATGAATTGGCAGAGCCAGGTCACACGATCAGCAGACTTGTCCAACCTGCGGCGGGGCCCATAGCGGTCCAGCGGGCTGCCCTGTGCAAGATCCAGGTCATCGCAACCGGCGACTTCACCGCCTTCGCTCTGGCAAAAGCAATCCTAGATCTCGAAAGAGTCGAAAGTAGATTCGGTGGAATGGGCGTGGACCCTCCCGCTCACGAGTCCAGGCGCAGCCTCTTGCTGTTTAGGCCTCCTTCAGCACACCACACATCGTGGATATCGTCTTCACCACCCACAGCTCGACATCTCAGACCTTGTGAGACAGAGGTGGATCAGGCGCCATGCAGGAGCTGCCGGCCAGATTTCGGCGGGATACGGTGTTCTCCATACGAAATGCCAGAGTGCGAAGCATGCAATGGTTACCCCTCCGATGGGCACTTCCGGTCAACCAGTGGTTAGCGCAGCGTAGAGATCCGCACAACATGGGATCTTGTTCTGAATCACAGCAAGCGCCCTCTGGCTCGAGTTAACGGGATGGCCCTTCCCGAACCATCCACAACTTCTGCTGACGGGCCTGCACCCCCCCCGGGGCCTGGCACCCTGCCAGGCGTCGTTGTTCTCCAAGCTATGTCCATTGGTGCTCTGGATCATCTGGAAGAGAAGATGCATGGCCGTTCTTGGAGGACAGCGGCAGCAGTCGCAGCAATCATGGCAGGAACTGCTTCAGCTGCTCGAGGTGGAGTACAACATGGACTGGAGAATAGCAAGGTCGCAGATCAAGTCCGACCCTTCAAGGGAGCGCGAAACCCTGAAGAGACTCCAAAAGTCGACCATCAGATACGGCGCGGTGGCCACCATTGTAGGGCGCAAACTACCTTTCCACTGGCCACGGGCTTGCCTGGTGACCGGGAACTCGGAGGACTCCGGGAGGTCATTTCCCCAGAGCCCTGCACCACCCATCCTGTGACCACCATAGGTTGCCCAGCGCCCCAGTTGTGGGACCGGCGCCTGGACACACGCGGAGCAACTGGCTATTACCCGCCTCGAGGTCTCCCGGAGAAGCCGGCGGTTTGCCGGGCAATGATCAGCCAGAAAGGGGAAAAGCAAGGGCAGGCAGGGGGTAGGACGGGGCTTGAAAACTCTGCGATCCGAGGCTGATGGCATGTTACGATCAGCCAGAAAGGGGAAAAGCTAGGGCAGGCAGGGGGTAGGACGGGGCTTGAAAACTCTGCGATCCGGGGCTGATGGCACGTTACACTTGTTAGGAGGACAGGGTATCAGGCTGTAGGCTTTGGGTGAGGTGGCTTAGTTGGGATGCAGGCTAGCTTAGGCAGGGGTGAGAGGTGGTACATCCCTCCCTTGGGAAGAAATCAATGCCGCCTACTCGGGCCTTCCAGCCATAATGGGAAGGAGCGAGTGTGAGTCTCTTTATGTAACTTTTTGAATTGCCGGTGGAATAGGAACTGGGCTGTCGGTCCTCAGAATGGAAAGGAGCCAGAACCATAAGGTTCTGCTTGCGGAAAAAATGAATAAAAAAATGGGTACCCCAACGATGGCCCTAGCCTACGTGGCCTGTGTACGCCTGCAAGAGACTGGCTCCTCTTCGACATGTACGAGGTAGATGCCCGAGGCCAGCCGGTTAGCAGGCTTGTGCAGCCTGCCCCTGGGCACATAGCAGTCCAGCGGGGCGCCCCACGCAAGGTTCGGGTGATTGAGACAGACTATCTGGCCGTTTTTGCCCCCGCAAAGTCGATCCAAGGTGTGGAAATAGACCTGGCAGAATGGACATGGAGACTCCTGGCCACAGGCCCCGGCACGGTCTCTCGCCGCTTCGGGCTCCTCCAATATACCACACACCGAGGCTATCACCTACACCGTCAACCAGTGGCTCGCACAACATGGGAAACGGCACAACATAGGACCTCTAGATGACCAGTGTGCCAGATGTTTGGACGCCCCGACAGAAGACATATTGCACCGTTTTCTGCACTGCTCGGAAGCGGTTCCAATCTGAAACAAAGTCAGCAGGTTCTGGTCCCAGTTAACTGGATCAGCCTTGCTGGAACAGCCACAGCTCCTTCTAACGGGCCTGCTGTCCCCAGCCAGTCTTGTCCCTTACCAAATGTTGCTGTTCTCCAGGCTGCGGCCCCTGGCGCTGTGGATCATCTGGAAGAGAAGATGCACGGCCATTCTTTGGGGCCCGCAACAGCACCCACGTCATTCATGGCAGGAGCTGCTCCAGCTGCTGGAGGTTGAGTACAGCACAGACTGGATGACTGGAAGAGAACATGCCTTCAGATCAAGGCAGACCCGCCAAAGAAGGGCGAAATCTTTCAGAAATTCCATGAGCAGACCCTCGGATGAGGAATGGTAGCCACCATTGAAGGGGGGGAACTATGCTTCCGCTGGCCATGGGCTCAACCTGAGAGGACCCTGGGAGGTCGCTCTCGCAGAGCCCGACCCTGCTTGACCCATGACTAACACCCTGGCCGTGGGGCTGGGGTCTGGGCACCTGAGTTACGGCTGGTTATTACCCGCTCTGGGGTCTCCCGGAGAGGTCGGCGTTGTGCCGGGCAAAGAACATCCAACAGATCCAACCAGGGCCTTCTCATGACGGTACAGGCGGGCTAGGGTGCAGCGACGAAGCGTGGCCCTCCCGGAAGTCTGCAATAGGAAAGGGAAACAGCAGGGAAAACTTAAGATTCAGGGTGAAGTTATAGGCTTTAGCAGATCAGGCAAAAGGTGGCGAGTCTTCTGGGGTGTCTGGGGCTCTAGTGGGGGTCCTCTAGGGTGTTAGCGGATTGGACAACCAGGGCAAGTTTCCCAGGGGTTTAGGCGTGCTAGCAGGAGGTTCGGAATTAGCTAGCTCTCAGCGGTCGGAGGGCCAAGGGGGCCCGCCCCGTCGGGGCCGCTCAAGTGAAACTGGGTAAAGCTCCCAGCATTTTATTCCTCTGATTAAGGGATGTTGGGGCCCATTGCAATCAGACTCGCTTCCTTCTTCACTTCAAATACATGCAAAGAGATGACAACTCACACTGGCGCTGTGCGCCCTCACAAAGCTCAGAGATAATCAAGCCGAGAACACAGAACCGTTACAAACTTGCTTCCATCTGGCTATGGTGCTTGAGCGCTCACACACATCCTTCGTTCGTCACTGTGTCAACACACTGTTCACACGTACTCGTCTCTGGATCACCCTGAATGTCCCACGCACATACACTCTGCCACTCACACACACCGAACTCTGCCTCTAAGCTACAGCCGCTATGGCCGCCTAACCCCTACTAGCTATGGATACTCTATCTTCCTTCGCCCACTTCGTCCTCGGGCATCTGCAGACCACCTCGCACAAGACGCTAGGGCAGCACTTCCGCATGGCTCACGCAGGAATGAATGAATGGCTGGACGCTGCCTCTTCATTTATACTTCTGTAAGTCGTTGGTCTGCCCTTTTCCACTGGCTCATGGTGCACACAGTCCCTCATGGTACTTGCCGACCGTTCAAAGTGAGACTGGGACTGGGTACCGCTGACTAAGGGAAGTTGGACTCACAACTTGCCCACTTGCCTCTGGCCTGCTGTGTATAACGTGAGAAGAAACTTGAAAGGCCACTTCGGGACCTTCCGGAAGTTTGCGGACTTGACCTTTCAGGACTGTAGCAGCTACGACCTTGACCTTTCAGGACTGTAGCAGCTAGGACCTTGAGCTTTCAGAACTACAACAGCTATGACCCCTACGCAGGTATGACCCCTGCTTCGACAGGTCTAAAGTTCAAGACCCGACAACTACTCAGACCTACGACAGACAACTTTCAACTACTAACACACAGGTCACGGGTTCAAAAACTACTAACACACAGGTCACGGGTTCAAAAACTCACAGGGTCGACTTGATACTGTACACACGTAAGGTAAGGTAAGGTGAGGTCTGGGGATCGAGCCCTGGGATCCGCATCTGTGTCTGCAAGAGGTGAAAACCGTTTCACCATTCCCAGCAGGTGCAGCTCCCCACTGGTAGAATGGAGCCATCCGCCGGAGGGTCTCGGTTCCACTGGTTCTCTTATCTCCATGGGACTGCAGAACCTCCCCGGATGTTTCGTGGAAAAGAAAAAGGAGTACCCCAAAGAAAGCCAAAGTAACATAGTCACGAAAGGGATAAAACGTAGCTATTCTGCTCCATGTTGCTTGCTAAACAGGTAAAACTGTTTCATTGTTGGATTGACTCATCTCAAGTGTGCTTTATTAAAGCTGCTTCCATCTTTGGGTCTACTCGTCTGGGTGGAACAGGGCTGTTGTGGTGAAAATCTACAGCACACACCCAACGTAACAATCTTTTCCCAACCTGCACCTTATTCAGCTGCTCGCCGCCCTTCAGTCTCAGAGCTGCATAGTAGACCCCCTCATAAACTCCTTGCCAGTGCAAACGATGGCCTCTTGGTTGGTCAGCTATGCTCTCCAATGCATGATCAGCTCCCTTTGCAGCAAGGATAGTCCACTTGAAAGTGGCATGTGCTGCTGCTGAAGTAAGCAAAGTACAGAGGAGGTCGTGTTGGATCTCAAGCAAAATGCACATCCCCTTCGCCACTCGACATCAGCAGATTTTTTATCACAATGTGTGCTAACCCACTACATGACTGCACCCTTAATCATGTGCTGAACGCTGTTCATGCGGTACATAATTATGCACATAATTATGCCTTGGCTCTGATTTCACAGGACAGGAGGCCAGCACCAATGTACTCACGAGCTGGATAATTGTTGTGGGGTGCGGGTTATTTCACGTCTCTGACACTCTCGTATCATAGTGTTAGGTATAGAAGAGAATCTGCGGTTTGTGGTCTACCACGCTTACCTCTATGCAGCGGATGGCACTCTGCGCCATCAGGTGGTCGGCATCCCTTATGTACCAACTCTGGACCAGAAATTGCCAATCTTACACTCCATTGGGACGATGCACAGTTCATCTATGAACTTTATCAGCAGAATCTACATGCAGCGCAAGAATATGCTGTGTATTATCCTGTCCTGGAATAGTTTTCTGCCACCTCGTGCTCGGTATGGTCTGGAGTGGAACGTCGCTACAGAGCATGATGCTTCATGTCTCATCCAGGGGGCATGCAATTCAAGAATCTCAGTTCATCCCGATGGCTTGCTTCAAATTGGTGTTTTTGATAAGAATGAGGCTTGGACATTCCCGACCGTACACTATCCCAGCCCTTCCTCCAATCGCTCGTCTCCTCAGCGCACAGGCGTGCTCATGGAATAGCCAACGAGGTTCGAGAATATCTGTAACGATACTGCCAACTTCGGAGCTGCAGTGACTTCCTTGAGACACTGTATGCTCGTTAGGGGCCATCCTCCCGGTGTCCCTGCCAGGTGTAGTGCGTGGCCGACAACATCGTCTTCCCAACTCATGCTGCTCGGCTTACGAACTGGTTTGGGCGCATGGTTCGTTTCTCACTTCCCCATCCTCTGCTGAATGTCAATTCTGAGCACTGGCAACATCAGCCGTCCACACATCAACACTCAGTGGGCCCATCCACCTCTGCTACGACCTCCAGAGGGCCGGGGACAACCACCGCTGTCACCCAGGGGAAAAACTGGGCTTTGCATAGGAACACAATGCCTGGCTGGTGTTATAGTCTGGGCGTAGCAACTTTGGTGAAAAATAGAAAAAAGAAAAAAGAAAAAAAAAATGTGAAAAAAAATGCGATGTGCAATTGCAATGCAAACGGCTTTTTAGAAGGGGGTAAAAAAAAGAAGTGCGACAGCCTTGACATATGACGATTGAACGGGCTGGCCCCAGGTAATTCAGAAATATTGTCGGCTTGACATATGACGATTGAACTGTCTGGCCCCAGGTAATTCAGAAATATTTTGTTCTGTTCATGTGGTTGCATCTGGATTCGAACTCGGGTGAGTCGGGTCTGTATTTCAACAGTTCATGGGTGTACCAACTGTACCGACTGAGCTAGGCCCGTTGCTCGCGAACAACTTTTGGCTGAGGTCCCAGGTAATTCGGAATTATTTTGTTCTGTTCATCTGGTTGCATCTGGATCCGAACTTGGGTTTGGGCCCTTGGTTGCAAACGACTTTTGGGTTTTGGCTGACTTCAGTTCCAAATTCGTTATTAATTCAATGATAAGATAAACCATCATAAACATTTCAAAAAAGAAAATAGAAAAATCAAACCAACCACACCTTCTAAAGCTAAAAGCCTAAAACCCGTTTGAAGTTACTTACGGTATCCCTCTTCCCCTCTTACCCCCCCCTTCCCCCCCCCTCCCCCCCTCTCTCTCTCCCCCCCCCCCTCTCACAAACACACACACACACACCCACACACACACACACACACACACACACACACACACACCTCCACACACACCCCCTCCCCCCGCCAAAAAAAAATCCAGACCGAAAATGAAAAACAAGCAGGGATTCAGGCCGATCTCGGTGGTCACAGAGATGAATCACCTGGATCCAAAAAAGAAATCAATTCCAGGTTCGCCCGTCCCCAGGTATCATAGACATACCTGAATGATTTTCTCACTTTTTTCCACCCAGGGGGAGGACCAGTCAGTTCCTGTAGAACTCCACCCCTGCCCCTTTCCTTCTCCCCTCTTGTGTACTACTAGTAAATGCAAAGGAATGAGCATCAATCATTAAGAGAACAGACAGAACATAAACTGGAGACCTAACGAACAGAAGTATACCTCCCTTGTTACTCTGCCTCCTTTCACAGCATGCAAGGGGGGAGGGGGCGTTATGGCACTCGATGATGTGGGCAGCTGGCACTGGACCACAATCGATGTGGAAAGCCTGTACTTTGGAGACACAGTAAAAGGGGAGCTGCGAGAAGGAATAAAAGGGGTACCCCAGAGAAGGGATATAGCGGATCTATTGTGTCATGTTGTTTGCTATAGAGGTCAAATTGTTTCATTGTTGAATCGGCTCAATAATGTGCTTCATTGTTTGCCATGGAGGCAAAGCTCCTTCAATTTTGCGTGTACAACACACACACACACACACACACACTCACACACACACACACACCCACACACACCCA